GAATGCACTTCAAATGGTCGCAAAAGTAGCTGAATTCATCATGTCCATAGGTCCAAATGGTGTATGGCTTCTTTTAGTTGGCGGTTTACTCCTTTATATCTGCATGCGGGGAGAAGAAGATGAGGTGATATCGCCACACTCTGGTGCTCATCGTGATACCCGTAGCTCTACTAGTCGTGCTACCAGTCCTTCTGATTATAGTGATGGTATCCGGACTGGTACACGCGTCCTTAACCCAGACCCAAAGCCGAGGCCAAGGGCAAATCCTCCTGCACCGTTTCGGACTCAGAGTACCGTGCAGCGGCTCTGTGGGGAGTTTCGTTGCGGACACTGTGGCAGGTGGTGGACCAGCTTCAGCGCCTGGCGCGGCGAGTGGCAGAAATGTCGAAGCTGCGGCACCAAGGTGTACCCACAATCTCTCAGCGTCGCTGAACATGCCCCTGATGGTGACAATGGACGGCCTCACGACGAGGAGAATTGCAGTATGTGCTTACGACTGGGTTCTAACTGTCGAAGGCTATAGCCGTGCATAATGATGTGTTGCCATAATGAATGAAGCACAATAAGCATTCCATAGACGGTAGACCTGCGCTTAATCCGCGCTCACTGTACTTGTACATGTAATATACATTGTACACATGTGTATGTATGCATGACAATGCCATGTACCATAATTTTGCAAAGGTGTGTTTCCTTGAGGTGTAGCGTATTCAGAGTACCTTGGGGAGACCACTGTGAAGAATGAGCGTTTTCGACTTTTCGGGACCTGTTGAGCTTGGTAGTGTGGGCCTAGAACAGCAGCGTCATTGCTCTGGCCGTATTTCCTGTTAACAGTCGCCTATGCTGGTTGGACTATCTGTCATATCATGTACATTGTACATTGTACATCGTTATTAAAAGCGGGAATCAAAACAGGCATAATTATGCCTTATAACCGCCAGTGGACCCACTGCATGAATCTTTACTCTTTAGATTCCGTGGAAGAACATTATACTGAAGTTTCGCTGCATGTGGGAGGACTGCGGTTGGAAAGCGAGCCCCCCCCCCCCCCACCCGGGAGGGCCTACATGTATGATAATTATCAGGAATCACGTGATCCATCTCACTAACTACCTGTCCTTTTATTCTGATGACGGCTGATGATGATGGGGATTTTCTTCACGGTTCGCGTCAGACTCGGCTAGAGGCGGTGTTTTCCGCATCCGCAGGAACACCACCTCCCTTCAAGAATCAAGGAGCAGATGCAGCTCCTAAAGCGGTGAGAGGTGAGCACTGAACAGTGACTGAGTGAGACGGTAATATTGTCCAGGATAGCTATGAGCCTCCCGAACAACCAGAAGCCAACTAATTACAAGTAATTAGTTCAGCAATGCACGTGCTGTGTGCTATAATGTCAGCGCCATGCATAATGTTAGCAGTGAGAGAAATACCGGAAGGGAGTGAGAGCCTGTAAGCGCTATGTGTTAATACTCAACACGACTGATCACACAGCATGGAGCCGTGTCCCCAAAAATAAGTTTTAAAAGAAAATGGACAAAACAAGTTGAATACAAACAAGAACACGATATAAGCAACAAACGCACAGGACGGAAGCGAGAAATGGCAACTAATATCGCGAGATGTGGGCTTCCGACACTGCCGGAGTGTGGGATACCTCATTAGCAGCAGCACGGTGCCAACACGAGAGCTAGCCACGCAAACATGCAATGCAAGATCGCAGCAGATCAGCAAAAGAAATCCTGTACCGAATGAAAGCAATGGCATAGCTGTAAGACTCGGATTGTTTTTCTGAGCGCTGACTATACGCTTGTACAAAGCCGCCGCCGGACTACTGAAGCTTCCGGATGCGGACATCACCGCCGGAACAAATGAAGCGCTATGTGGTGTACAGTGTGAAGTATAATCATGTGCTAAACTGAAGTGTAAAGCAGGACGCCAGGAGGTGTGTGTAAAGCACGCCTCTCACAGTAGATCAGCTCACCAGCAAGTTAGTGGTCAAAGACCCAAAATCCCATTCACTGCATCCATTGTTTCCTCGTGCCAGGCCACGAGCTCCCAATAACTGTGGGTCGCAGCACGGCTGGAAAAAATCCTTCCGCTTCCAGATCCAAGCAGGACTTGGAACCTGGTGAGTCCTTGAAACGATAGAGCTTGGAAGCTCAGGGCCCTACGCTATGCGTTTTTGCCTTGATGACCTAGACAAAAAAAAGCATAAAAAAAGGATGTTCTTATAAATTTCTACTTTTTGTTTCTAGACATAACCTGGGATTCGAACCCGCACTATCGCCCTGCATGCATCCCCCGATACACTTCGCATACATACAGTACTAATTCTTCCAAGTTGCTTCACGTTATGATCTTGTATTTTGAAAGCCCTATTTGAATTATGCATTGTGGCCAGCCGTCTTTGATTGTACGGTACGGTACGGGACAGGTACGGGACAGGTACGGTCGAGGGTAATACGACACCATCTTCCGCCTTGATGACGGCAAAAAAAGAATAGGGATGTTATAAATTTTCAATTTTCCTATTTTTTCAGGCATTACCTGGAATTCGAACCCGCACTATCGCCCTACATGCATTTCCCTATACACTTCGCATTCATACTCATTCTTCCAAGTTGCTTCACGTTATGACATTGCGTTTGAAAGCCCTATTTGAATAGTGCGGCCAGCTGTATGTGGCCACGTGGCCAGCTGTGTTTGATAGTACGGTACGGTACGGGACAGATACGGGATAGCGCCAGGCATGACACAAACACACAAACACCAAATTAAAGCTGTGTGGACCCTGGCTAGCGCCAGACGTTACTGAAGTAACGTCTTCTGCATAGCTACGGGAATAAAATTATTCTGATGACGGCACCAGGGCTTGTTGAAATAAAATTATTCCCGTAGCTATGCAGAAGACGTTACTTCAGTAACGTCTGGCGCTAGCCAGGGTGCACACAGCTTTAATTTGGTATTTGTTTGTTTGTGTGTTTGTTTGTTTGTTTGTGTCACGCCTGGCGCTATCCGTATCTGACGGCAAAAAAGCATAGGATGTTATAAATTTTTCAATTCTCCTATTTTTCAGGCATATCCTGGGATTCGAACCCGCACTATCGCCCTACATGCATTCCCCCCATACACTTCGCATTCATACCCATTCTTCCAAGTTGCTTCACGTTATTATCTTGCGTTTGAAAGCCCTATTTGAATATTGCGGGCAGCTGCATGTGGCCAGCTGTGTCTGATGGCACGGTACGGTACGGGAGACGGTGTCGTATTACCCTCGATCGTACCTGTCCCGTAGCTATCACCTACCGTACCGTGCCATCAAAGACGGCTGGCCACAATGCATATTCAAATAGGGCTTTCAAATGCAAGATCACAATGTGAAACAACTTGGAAGAATTAGTATGTATGCGAAGTGTATCGGGGGATGCATGCAGGCCGCGATAGTGCGGGTTCGAATCCCAGGTTATGTCTTAAAAAAGGATTTTTTTAAAGAATTTATAACATCCCTATGCTTTTTTTTTGTCTAGGTCATCAAGGCAAAAAAGCATAGGGTAGGGCCCTGAGCTTCCAAGCTCTCTCGTTCTGATGACGGCACCAGGGCTTGCAGATTGTTTCGGGTTACGACGTCATTTGGCCGCTCGCCAGACGTGACAGTGACACACTGGCAGCTAACGAAACTGTTTTGATGCCTAGCGAATACTACTAGTACTGAGTACTAGTACTACTGTAGCGCCTGTCAAAACACAGCGCTATTAGTATAAAGCCGCCAGCGCAATCCGAGGAAGGAACACAGGCGAGCTTCGCGTTCTATTCTTGAGTTGAAACTGGGTCGAGACAGTCTTTAGTTTAGATAAGCCCTTTGCTCAAAGATAGCCCAGGCAGAACAAGTTTAGTGGATTGCAGTATCGTTTTGGATTTGTTATCTACTACAGAGAGTTTCAAAACAATTGCCAGTTTGGGGCAAAAAGCTTAGTCGGATTACACACCAACCTGAAAGCACTGGTGAGTGGTTGACTCTTTCTAAATCCTCCAAACAAGATCCAAACCGTAAAGGAAGAAGCGTATTCTTTGTCAGGAGTCAGGATGTCAGCACCAGGCGGGAAAGGCCTCACTCCGTATCAAGGAAAGAGGCGAACCTGGGGGGAGTTTAGGTGCAGCTGTGGCAAGCGATGGTCCAGCGGTAACTCCTGGCGCGACACTTGGCAGAGATGTCAGTCCTGCGCGGAGGAAGTATACCCGTACGAACAACGCCCTCTGGAACCCAGCACTGATCCGGATCGCGGAGTGCATGATCAGAGAAACTGTGGAAAGTGCATTCGCATGGGTCGCTGCTGCAGAGATCGATGAGCGCGAACATCGTGGCTGTGGGGCTGGGTGACGTCTAGGCTGCTGGCGATGTGATCAAGGAGAAGCCACGGAGATCTCGAGGGAGAAAAGACCTCAAGGTGACTACCTTCCTTCAGTACCTGGACTTCAATAATCAAAACTTGGTGAAACCATTAGCATGAAGATAGGATCCTATGCCTAGGGAGTAACACACAATTCATTAGAATGAGGTGGCCGTTTAATACTATTAATTTTGTGGATGTACGTGTAAGTTCATCAATGCTATCATGCCTTACTCTCATTATTCCGAACAATCCATAGGGTTCGCGCTTCCAGAGCTCTGTTATGTATTTGCGCGCGACGGGTCTCAGTTGCCTGCTCTGCCGGTCCTCGTCCCTGTCTCCATCTTCATCATCCACCTTTCCTCCCCGTTCCCCACCTCCTCTTCTTGTCGCTTGCCCTATTCTTTTGCTTCCCTGGGTTTCTGCCTTCTCGCCATCTTCTTATTGCTAGAATTTCTGGAATTTTCACTGGTTTTTAAAAGTCCGATTCCCACGGCACCTGTTTTTACAAAGGCCTCTTCAATGCCGTTTATCCCATCGCCGTCTATCATGGGTCCAACTATCTGTTACAGTAACTATACGATGGCGGTTGCTCTCATTCTATTGCATTGAGTGAATTCTCGTTGTCTGGAATGTTGGTTTGCTGAAAACACTTGTGCTGGACAGTAGAAGTCCAAATCCAATTCATTGCATGGGTTCCAGCATTCGACATTGCTCTGTTGAGCGCATGAAGGCATACTCTACACGTGCTCTCCGTCTGCTCTGACTAGAGGTTACTGGTAAGCTTGGCATTGCGTCGACGCATAGCTAAGCCGGGGATCTACCAACAGTGTCCACGTGTAGTTCATTGAATCCCAAGCGTACACTTGTCCCCAGAAAGAATGCATAGTTGCCATTCGACGAATCACCATGGGGTGTAGCTACTTTTAAGTTTTACCCCTTTTGAGTCCGCAAATTCAAAGGGTTTATGTTGAGGAATCTGTACATAAGGCCTACTGAGGGTGTGTAATGGGCGGCTGGGCTGCTCCACACCATGCAGGCAGCTAGGTTGCTGCACGAGTATGCCAACCACACGCATAGTCTGATACTGCCCATCACTGGCACTTACATCTTTAGCACTGCGCTGCAGAGCAGGCGCTCATTCCGGGGCTGTCAACATGGTCAAAGACTGGACAAACCAAGGACCACCAACAAACGGGACATGTCATTGTGTATTGCTGGAATTAGGGGATTCTAGGGGACCAGTTCTGCTGCTTGAATATTACGTCATTCTGTAGTACATGTACATGCGTATTGTACATGTATTACGTCATTCTACAATACATGTACATGTGTATTGTACATGTATTACGTCATTCTGTAATACATGTACATGTGTATTGTACATGTACATGTAGCTTTTGTTCCAATGAGTATCCGTGTTGACTATGCTTACTGGATTTCATTCGTGTGACCAGTTCAGGCAGTATCTCTGAAGTCTGATATCCCCTGTGGAACCAACCAACTACAGAGTCAATACTTGACTAACTGTCTGGCGATCCAGCATGGCAGTCGGCATTATTGTAGTGGCGTCTGGAGCTGGTCCCACCTGACAAGCCTGGTGCATGTTCACAACGATCGAAACTGTTGTGGTCCAGCAGGCAGTCAAGCATCAACAACACGTGATCATGCATTTGACAGCTTTACTCCTACATGAGGAGATCCTGACTCGCAACGTCCCGTCAGTGTAGTCCCAGGTTTTCCCTTCTCTCAAACGTCACCAAAAAGAGTCACGATAATCAGCATTGAAATGCAAAAAAGACTGCCTATAGAGTGCTCTGGAAGAGAACCTTGAAAAAGGTACCTGCACCCAGCTCCTAGCATGGCTACTGGGCACATACGCTGTGAATGGATAGACTACAAAGTCATGTGCAATGTACTATCATTGCCCCCATAGAACGTCTCGTTGTTCGCGTTCGATGCAGCTTTCTTCACCGCGAAGCAGTGTAGGGTTCCGCTTCACGCAGCTCGCCGGTTGGAATACCTCCGTTTTCTGTGCCTGCACACGCGTCGCAGCAGGCAGATCCAAAATACTTGCTTGCTTCACTGTGCGATTTGAAGCCAGCATTTCGGGTCCGCTGCGCACACTGTCCAATTAGAACCAGTCTCCGAATGGCCAGCAGTGATGGAGTCTGGCGCCAGAGCGTTCAGGCCTCCCCTTGGTCTCACACCGTTCCAGGGCTTGGGACGTTGCTGGGCAGAGTTCCGATGTGATCAATGCGACAATACCTGGTCGAGCCGCTCATCCTGGCGAGACACCGCGCAGGAATGTCGCAGCTGCGGTCGTTGGATATACCCGCACAACCAAAATCCGCAGAAACTACGCGACGATCCGCGACCAAGTAAAGAAGACCGCGCGGAGCACGAACAAAGTTCCTGTGAGAAGTGCAAGCAGCTCGGCGAGAACTGTATGCGAATCTTGCAACCAAATTTCGAGTGTCTGGCGGCCAATGGAGGCTGCGGCAAAATCTGGATAAGCACAACGTCCCATAATGAAACGGAGTGTCCTGATTGTGGCGCGTTGATCACGTGCAGCGATCGTGAGCCTTGGAGCCGATACGGCGTACGCTATTTCTGCGTAACCTGCTACAGAAGGTGGCGGTGTGGCGGAAGCCTGCGTGATGCGACCGTCAAGGTTTGCCACAAGTGCAACAGCGACGTGTGGCCGGACGAGGAACAAGACAGTCGCCATGGTTACCATGGTCTTCAACTGTATGACGACGACGGCAATGGTGTCACGCCAGGGAGCAGAACGCGCATTTCTAACTCGTGGAAGGATATTGCAGATCACGTGAGCACGTTCTCAGAAGGTCGCCGTGAGAGGGACGGTCAAGAGAGGTACCACCGTGACGGGCCCCGGGAACGACGTCGCCGTGAAAACGACCTCCTCGATAGAGACGGCGCTACTCGTATCGGAGGCAGTGGACGGCGGAATGGTCGACTTCGCCGCAGAGGCAGAAGAGGACGGGCTGGCAGAAGGCGCGGTCTGGCACCTGCTCACCTGCCACGGAAGGAACCTGCCGCGTCGAGGATCATGCGAAACGTCACAGAAATGTGTGGTACTCCATTGCAAGTCACAGCGATTTTGGGCTGACGTATTGATTTTTGTATTGTATTTTACACAAGAGAGAGATTGGAAGCTTTGTTACAACTCTGAGTTTCACGTGTTACTACAATCATCAGGCGACTGTATTGTATTTTATTATTTTTGCTTGGGTATTCCTAAGGTCTCCTATACAGGGTGCCCGAGATGAATGAATTTGTTTAAAGTTCCTGGCGAAATAAATTGGGGATGTCATTAATGTGAAGGGATTTGGGAAGCGCACTAAAAGCATCATCAAGTCCGCATGGGTTTGTCCAGTTTCAGCGGATTGAAAAATACATGTATACAGCTGCTGCCCTGTACGAGATCATGCCGTAGGGTAGACTACATTTTAGATGTGACATTGTATTTCCGCTTTTCAAACGAGAAAGAGGGCCAGTTTGGATTCGTCGTAACTCAACTCATTCTCGTTTAAAACGCTCTACACTTTGTGCATCGAGCATTTAGCCGGCAATTTGCCAAGATTTACTCCTTTGTATTTCCTCTTTTCTACTGTAAAGATCCTGGAAGTTGCTCCACACATCCGTGTACAGTAAACCCTGTGACTAACGACCACCCCTTGGGGCCAGAGAAAGCGGTCTTTAGTGGCAGGTGGTCCTTAGCTAGAGGTAGGCATGGGCGGGTAATGCTAACATTATGGCTGGCATTATAGTCCCTTTTTTCCAGGTGGTATAATGCTCGGGAGAATGAAATTGAAGACACCACTGCAGCTGTACTTATGGTTGATAAATATGGTGGTAAAGACACACCTGGCAATATGGCGGTAAACACACGCCTGCCCACACACGCTCTCTAGGCTGCAAAGTTCTGGCACAGAGCTCTCCTTCTCACCACCACCACCATCAGTTCGCGCCTGGCGCCTGGTCGATGCATGGCTGGCGGTATACGGCATAGCAGGCTGGTACACGTATACCGCCAGCCATGCATCGACCAGGCGCTAGGCGCGAACTGATGGTGGTGGTGGTGAGAAGGAGAGCTCTGTGCCAGAACTTTGCAGCCTAGAGAGCGTGTGTGGGCAGGCGTGTGTTTACCGCCATATTGCCAGGTGTGTCTTTACCACCATATTTATCAACCATAAGTACAGCTGCAGTGGTGTCTTCAATTTCATTCTCCCGAGTCAAGCTCCGTATGAAGACATCCAAGAAGAAGATTGCCTGATGAGTCCAGCGGGGACGAAACGTACGTCGCAATCGAGCTATGTCGTTGCTGTGTCATCATCTATGTGCCATGCGCTACTTGGTGTACCAGCCTGCTATGCCGTATACCGCCAGCCATGCATCGACCAGGCGCCAGGCGCGAACTGATGGTGGTGGTGGTGAGAAGGAGAGCTCTGTGCCAGAACTTTGCAGCCTAGAGAGCGTGTGTGGGCAGGCGTGTGTTTACCGCCATATTGCCAGGTGTGTCTTTACCACCATATTTATCAACCTGGTATAATGCTGGCATTTTAACACCATTTCGCATGCAAAATTGGCATTACAAGCATAATTGCCGGTCGACAACGGTGTCGTGCATGAAGCTGGCTAGGTCCAGTTCCGAAAATCGTGCATCTGAACCCGTCCGGCTTCGTCCGGAGACTTTAAAAAAATGTTTTGGTCATGTAGTTCACTCTAGGCACCGGCGGATTGTGCCGGCAGAAAAATTGGCAGGATTCGGTACATTTTCTGGTGAGTTTCATGCATGTTTGGTATGTGGATAAAGAAATGGAGCAGAATTCGAGGAATTGCCCGCCATAAGGTTTGTATGGTTCTGCCAATTTCACTGCTTTTCGAGCAGAATCTGCCACCTTTTCGAGCAGAATCCGCCAGTCCCTAATTCACTCCCCCAGTGTAAATCCTTTTGAAAAAATACAACCAGTACAAACACTGTACAGTGTACATGTGTGCCCTGGGCTGTATTTAGCGCATCAGACACTGTCATAGCAACAATGCCTAATCAGACACTGTTGTAGCGACAATGCCTAACCCCTGGGAGATACTTAGTAGCGTTGTGAGAACCTTTAATTTCCACACACAGCTCAACATGCGACACTGGCTCGTTCTGCTGCCGGGCCCCTCGCTCACCAGACGAGGCGAATTCGAATCATCCTGCGGATTAGTATAGTCTGATATGCTTCGCTAACGATGTCATGTTTTGTTTATACAATATTTTTTATTTGCACAAGACTTGCTGATCGTGCCAGGAGTGTTCGATCGGTCAGCAAGCATGTACATTTCAGGTAGAAACTATATGGACCGTGCTAAAGCAAAGGCGGCAATGCACCTCAACCAGCCAAGCCCGTTGGCAACAGCCCCAACCGATCGTTATTCGGGGTACACACACCGACCAACCGAACTGTCGGACACAACAAGGACAAATGCATGCACACACACACGCGCGCGCACGCACACCCACACCCACACACACGTGCGCACATACACACACACACACACACACACACACACACACACACACACACACATACACACACACACACACATACACACACACACACACACATGCGTACCCATGCACACATACGGACGCAGTAAGAGTTAAACTCATGAACCATTAGTCCTCTTTTACGCACACAACAATGGAGAATAAAAGGCAGAACGTGAGAAAGGGTGAAATTGTTCCGTGAAGCTAGTGATTTGCAATTTAACAAACGAACTATATGCCAGATCTAGAATACCATGCCGGAGCAATACGACCAGAGGTCGAAGAATTCCAACGTGCTGCCCTTATACAGCTACCAACAGAGCGCTACGTTCACGCAACACAATGAGCGAATAGCCTCACCATCGCACAATTAGCGCCTAAATTATAAGTTTTAAAACCATGCGCAAATTATTCCTATCTTGCTGAGTCTGCACTGAAATGCTGCGTGTACACTCGTTCTCACACATACTCTGTTACCGGGCAATCTTGGCAAACCCGATGCGCTTGTTCTCGTAGTCGAATACCGTCAGGAAGGCCTTGAGGAAGGAGTCGCCCAGGATCCAGGACGGGGACATGTTGCTGGCGAGGAACGTGCTCACGCAGATCGCTCGTTGCGTGCCGTCGTCATCCGTGATGTTCATCCGCAGCAGGTATGTCTTGCTGGTCAGGTTGATGGTGACGCCCTGCACTGCCATGCGGATGACCGGGTGCTCGGCGGTGCAGCGCAGCTGCGTGAATATGCCCATCAGCTTGACGCTGGTGTTGATGGCGCCCAGGGCCACGTTGAGCTTGTCGACGGCTTTCTGAGGACCGACGATCAGCGACGTGCCCGTATCGGCGATGGCCTGGCAGCCTCCGGGGCACAGGTCCAGAGCGCCGAGCTGAACGTTGTTCACCGAGACGGGGACGGTCATGGAGAGGATGTTGAACGTCCAGAACGCGTTGTCGTACACCGCGACGTAGTAGATCTTCCCGGTGTAGTGCCGCGGGTCCACGCCACCAAACACTAGCCGCCCGCCGTCCACCGCTTTCTCGGCGGCGTTGTTCTCGACGGTGTTGAGATAGATAGAGAAGGCGGCCGTGTTGATGAGCCCCTGTGACTTCAGGTAGTGTGTGATGCTCGGCGCCTGGGCAAGCAGCAAGGCGTGTAGAGAACACACAGTCATATCCACCGCATACACATGCACACACACGCACGCACGCACGCACGCACGCACGCACACACACACACACACACAGATACGTTCATTAATAACAATAATTATTGCTATTATACTGCATTCATTGGTTTGAGGGGAAGACGCAAACGGGAAAAATCTGAAGAAAAAATTGCCTACCATCAGCGGGACTAGAACCAGGGACCTTCGCTTGAGGCCAGAGATGCTCTAACCACTGAGCTATGGTGTAGCTGTCATAGTAAAGACCATCAGCAAACCGTCGGGCGCGACGATTGGCACAAACTGGGAACGAGGCCAGCGCGCGTTAAGCTTGAATCGTTTCGTGAGCACGATTGGAGCAGCCCCAACGGGTGATCACGAAACGATTGCGAGTCCAGTTGCATCATGGATCGCGCATCACCCGGATCACGTGCCTGGATGGTTCAACGCACGGCTTCGTGCCGTGCACGCTTTGACGATTGGAAATCGGAGCTGTCCAATCCTTCGACCGCACACGTGACGGTTTGCTTATGGTCTCTGATAAGGAGATGACGGGGCAGCCAATAGTCGTGTACGCACCGTATCACGTGCAGGTGCAGTGCAACTCTGATAACACACACCCCAATATGGGGAACAGGAATTGTACTCAGCGTCCAAGGTACAGTCTGTATCGGCTATAGCGTGCCCATTTGATTTCCGTGATTTTATCACTATAACCGATGCATCACTATATTATGCGATACAATCGATTTTTTTCTTTCTTTTTTCGATCGACACATGAAAGGCAAGGAGATACTTCCAGCATGGCATTTTGACAAATGAGCATGCTGCATACATGTAGTTGACAGTGTCCGCATTTCCATAAAAAAAATCGTTATGTACATGTACATGTACCACTATCTAAATAAGCAATGTGAAGAAAGTAAAAAATAGGGCCTTTGATATTATTGCTACATGTATTTTAAAGTTATCACTATAGCCAATAATAATATAGTGTGTTATGCATGTTTTGATTCTTTGTTGCCATCATAATATCCGATATATCATTACATCCGATAATATTGGTTATAGTGATATTTTTACTGGATAAAATACGTTTTGCTTTTGATATTTCGTACCAATATCACTGTAGCCGATATATTCTTATAGCCGGTCACTCTATAGCCGATACAGACTGTACTTAGTAAAAGCCATTATTCTAACGAGGCGCATATATGGCCACTGCCTACTGAAACCGACCGGTCTATGTCTACCATTGGACCATTGGACCATTGGATGCCCATCGCCGGAGGCGATGATAGCGATGCTACAGCAGAAGCCATAGCAGCTTGTGCTGGGATTGCACCATTCAACAGCTTGCAAGGCTGAAGAATTGACCGCCACTATTCAGCCTGGTCTACACCACACAGCTATGAAGTGGCTTTTTGTGGCCAGTGAATCCCTACTTTTTGGTCTATTTTCATATTTTTCCCGCACACACATCACACCACATACTCCGGCATGCACTGGCTGTTGGTAACCACCCAGGAGAATGAAAGAAAAGTCAGGAGGAGTCTGAGAAAGAGACGAAAGACGTGTCTGACCATAATCGTCGGGAATCGAACCCGCAATCTCTCGATAGGAAATCGCTGCACATACCACTGCACCATATGGGACACCAAGGGTAACGATTCTCACGCATTCTCAACGCTCACTAGGAACACTATATGTATCGATTTCTGTATAACATTTCTATTTTAACGAAAGATTTCTCTTCGTTAACTTGTTAGATTTAGCAATTTGTTAGATATAGGGCTTTCACAGTATTTGTTATCCCCAAATACTTCACTATTGGACAATACATCCGTGCTCCGGACAATGTTTGCACTAACCAGGATTTTGTCTTACCTAAGTACGTACTACAGAGGTGTATGCATTATCAGAGTATGTACTAAGGGGGTGTATGTATTATCAGAGTACGTACTAAGGGGGTGTATGTATCATCAGAGTATGTGCTAAGCAAGGGTTTGTCTGACCAGAGTACATACTAAGGGGGTGTATGTATTATCAGAGTATGTACTAAGCAAGGGTTTGTCTGTGCGTCTGTGTGTAGTGTGGAATTAAACAAGACTACGAGTGTGAGATCGCCTAATCACAGCCCGCCGCGCGAAACGCAAAGGGCTGTGACGTAGGCTGATCGAACACGAGTACGAGTGTTTTGATTACATTTATGACATGCACCCACGCTTGAAACTCATATCCAACTTGTAAATACTTCGCGAAGGGCTGTGATTGGCTGATAGAACATGAACACGACAGTTTTGATTGGATTTCTGACATGAACACACACTTCGATCTTCCTATCGCACTTGAAAGCACGACTCAACCTTCTGGAGACAGAGTCGAGTAAAAAAAAAGCGAGCTTGACCAGTAAATCAAAGCCCTAGTGGAGCGGGCTTTGATAGTAAAATCAAAGTCCGCTCCACTAAATATGGAGTTCTACTTCTTGTAGCATGCTTTGATCCCCTCATCTAGGCCCTGCTAGGTGCAATGCGATTGGTCATCTCCGTGCCTACAGTCTTGTGACATGTCAGAATGTATTATCAGAGTATGTACTAAGGAGGTGTATGTATTATCAGAGTCCGTACTAAGGGCGCGTTCAAATTGTCTTCATCAACTGTTCTAACAAATTTTATAAAGAGATTAGTTGAAGTGTCCCATTAGAACGGTTTCTATCATTTTAGAGTTTTTCAGTGGAATTGTCATGGCGATGATGACGTCCGATCAGATCGACCATCTCCACGTACTACGTGACGTAGCTATTCCAAACTCTTCGAAACTAATCCACCTTCCCATCGGATGAGTTTCGAGGAGTTTCGAGGAGCTTCGTTTTTTTCTGAAGAGGCCAATAAGGCCACCTCTTCAGAAAAACGAAGCTCCTCAAAAAGTCAAAGAGTGACAATTCGAACGCGTACTAAGTAAGTGTATTGTGTGAGAACTCGTGCGAAATGCATCTGGACCAACAACGTCTGATGTGGGGGGAGCAGTACTTTAATACTGTATCAGACCTTGTCAAATGCTGGCAGCATTGCATGTTATCATTTTTGTTTTGCATATTATGCCTGGTCCACAATAGGCAGATATTTCGGCCGGTTATGGAATCGTACGAAAAATCCTCAAGATTGGCGCGATAATTGCCTGGTGTGGACGGCATTGTCGCACACGTTTCCGACAAATTTATGTGTAGTTAAAAAAAAATTGTGTATCATGGTATATAGGTCCGACCCAGTCGGCTGATTTCATGCCGGAGTCGGTGTCGGAGCATCGGCCGAAAATCGGCCTAGTGTCGACCAGGCATTAGACAAATTCTCACCTGCCCAACAGCTATGGAGCTACGACCCAAGCCCATGATTCCATCGTACTCCCCATTTCTGAACTCCAGCGACAGGAGTGTGGCTTCGGCAAACAGGACATTCTTCATCGTCGCTCCTCCGATGGTGACAGAGTCATGGCCGAAGACCCCGCGCACCAACCCACTGCCGTACGTAAGCGAGAAGGATCGCTGTTGTGATGCATACGTGCTCGACAAGGAGTGGTCGTATCGACGCAGGTTTGGACAGCCGGTCGCATTGCCGGCAATGAACAGACCCTTGCTCTTCTTCAGGTGGGTGGCTTTCTTGTGGCAGTCGACACGTGACGACACCACCCACAGGTTGGACGAGCCGCTATCGAACTGTACGAAGAACTTCTGCGGCGGCGTTCCGACGTAGATTGCTCCGAAGTACGCATCGTTCACTACAGTCAGCATGTGCTCCTCGATCAGCTTTTGCTTCGACGGCGCCTCGACGGTCACCGCACTGTTGCCGTCTCCGCTGCGCCGCTGCATCGCCTCCTCTTGCTGCGTGCGCACCTGCAGCTCCGCCAGGTGTTCCGTCATGGCTACAATTTCCCTGGACGTCGCACCGCGCGCCATTAGGCTAGAGAACACGCTAGGTGCGCGCAGTACATTGACGTGAAGCAGCTTGTCTTCGGCGACACACCTTGGACACAGCGCGGACAGCGGCACTGCCGCCATCATCACCAGGAGAAGACCGTGCATTGTCTTGCCAAATAGATTTGCCATGATGTCCGGCTTCCGCTCCGTGCACGATAGTCGACAGCCGGACGTGCCTGCCGGTCTGCTCCGCTGTGTGGCGGAAAACAACGGGCGCGGTCGTCCGAGAAGCGCAGCCCGACTTCAATCAAAGCACAAGTAGATCATTTTGTTTGCTTTCGTACAACGTTGGAAATAATGTTTTGAAATTCTCTGCCCCTCTCCCTTGCGACGTGAAGGGATCGAGCTCCGAGTTGAAATGAACCTAAATAAAAATCACCACCTCCGGAGAACAGGAGCGTAGCACCTGTGTACGGGCACTGACAGGTCCAGTGCCCGTTGGAGTGTGCAGCGACAATGCAGTGACCTCCTAATAATGAGTCCTATCCATAAAATAAAACGCTTTCCTTTGGCCTTGGCCATGGCCTTGGTCAACTCGACATTTTTACATGACAAAAATGCGTAAGTACCAGCATGACACCTGTTCTTGATCCTGTGCATGCATGCGTGCATGGGGTTATGGCCCAAGCCGTGGCCATTTCTAGTTCTGACAAGTGACAGAACTGAGAAGTGCCAGCCCAGTTTTTCTAAGTAGTTCTGTAAGTTTGTGCCACAAGTACACTGTGAAGTGACCGGATGGCATCGCATGATTATAGCATGCACGCCCGATCCGTGACGACCGTTCCTTGCGATGTTGGTACGTATTGTACATGCGTAACATGGCCTTTAGTCGCACTTTACTCTTTAGCCTCTTTCTGTGTGACCATGCATGGTGTACTGTGACTATTGCTAACTTCTCAGCTGTGGCGGAAGCGAGACCCTACCGATGAGGTTGAAGATGGAGAGGGTCACGCACCACCATCAGCACACTGCTTAGAAAGTAGTCCCAAGACTAATCCTCCGCAATGTCCAACGTAGTGGCGTGGGACCAGCAGCAGCATGCAGCCTTTCACGGTGGTACCCCTTCGCTATGCCGTCAATGTCGTGTTTATATTCACAGCGTGGATAGTTCTTCCTCTGCATGTAGATCTACATGATTGTGGTTGATCAAAGGCACAGGTGACATTGGACTACACATTCATGTACATAATATGTGGGGTAGTGGCTTCGCTGTTAGCGTTATGGAGAACCTCATTTCCTCTGTTATGTGCTGCGCTGATGAGTCCACAAAGGACGAAACAGTTCTGTCCGCAGATTGAGTACTGTCGACCCTCTCTAATCCGGCACCTTTTGCAACGGCATTTTCTGCTGGATGAACAAGGGTGCTGGATTATCAAATCCTGCCCTCCAACCCGGCCCACCTATTAACATACAATGTCATGTTTGTGTCGTACGTCAAAATGTAGGCATTTTCTGTGTCAATCCAAGTACAAATGTACATTTACTTTGTGGAATGCATGTCTTTAACATACGCTTGGGAATATCCTGTGCACTGGCATAGGATATTCTAAGTGTATGTTACATGTGTTGTGTATGTTAAAATGCTTCCTGACGGTATGCGATGTACAACTGGCGTCTGCTGGATTAGAAAATCGAATTACGAGCCAGAAAGTAACAGGTTTGCAAGGGTGCTGGATAAACTAGTGCCGGATTAGAGAGGGACGACTTATACATCGTAGTCTACATGTGGATCTACTGGTCCTCAACTCAAGACTACTAATACCGCATGATACAAAGAAGCCTTGCTTGGTAGTTTAGCATGTATTTCGATTTTGACAGCATGTTACAACTTACATGGCGAGGACGCATAGTGCTCCTGACTACAACCATAACCTCGTTGGCAGAGTCCTGGTCTTGCAATACGGTTCAAATGGTCGCAAGACCGGGGACTCTGCCAACCGGGTTATGGTTGTAGTCAGGAGCACTATGCGTCCTCGCCTTGTAACATGCTGTCAAAATCGAAAAACACATCAATACCGCATGAGTAGTACACAATCTTTTTCATTTCACGCTATCATCCCGTAGAATCATTCATTCGCGCCATGGTCCAAGCTTGCGCCATATCGAAGAATTGTAGTCAAGTAAGTAAGTTGCTGTCTGATAATAATAAAATAATAATTCGCGGGATTCGCGTTGGCATCGCTTGAATGTTCAGAAACACACAAACTAGCCTTCGCTTCCGCAGGCCACCACTATGCCTATGCCTGCTGTCTGATGATCGGTTAAAATCGTGAAGCTCGGATTTACAGCAGAAACGCTTTTTTTAAGTGTGTATGACTGTATGTCTCTCTCTCTCTCTCTATCTCTCTCTCTCTCTCTCTCTCTCTCTCTCTCTCTCTCTCTCTCTCTCTCTCTCTCTCTCTCTCTCTCTCTATATATATATATATATATATATATATATCTATCTATCTATCTCTCTCTCTCTCTCTCCCATCTCTCTCTCTCTCTCTCTCTCTCTCTCTCTCTCTCTCTCTCTCTCTCTCTCTCTCTCTCTCACGGGTGGCAGGTCGTTTCTTTTTCGGTTGAGGTAGGTGTCTGTCTTTCTTAAGAACGGATATCCAGCATCACTGTTAGCGAAACTACTCACGAACAATGCGCCCCGTAAGGAATTGACAATCGGCCCGGCTCCTTGTCGTGTCTTCCTGTGCCAGCCTTGGAAAGGCGCGGAGTCGACAAAGGTCAGTCGTATTGTCAAGTCTATTGTCCAGAAGACGTACTATGCAGTGAATGTAGTAACTGTCTTCACCACGATACGTTCCTTCACGGTGTTGAAGGACGTCCTGTCGACCCATCATTTGAGTCACCTCATTTATCATTTTGAATGCCGACAGTGCGGTAGTCGGTATGTTGGCAGGACGCTTCAACACTTGTCCGAACGTATCAAACAACACGTCCCATTGTCCTTGTTGTCAAAAGCGGCCAGGGCAGGCAGGCCAAAGCGTGGGAGGCCACGAAAACACCCGTTGCCTACTACTACGCCTGTCAGTATTACAACACAACCAGGAACGGATACAACACCGGAATCAACAGGAGCGCAACACATGAATCTGGTGTCACTCTTGACGACAACACCACGGCATGGAAGACCACCGGACGATCGTTCGTTAACAAACCCGACGGCGGTAACGGAAAGATCACCAGGAGAACGAAACGAAAATGGAAGAAAAACGAATCTGAGGACAAGCCAGAGACTAGCGGAGACACGACTGAGAAAAATCGAGAAGGCGGAACCAGTAGTGGCAGGTGAAAGTACGGGCGCAGCAGTGAACACGTCAAGGAGAAAGAAGCGATGGCATGAGGAGATGGAGATGGAGGATGATGATGGGGATGAACAGGATGGTCAGGAGGAAAGCAAGGGTGAGCAGGAACAGGAAGTGGAGGATGAGAGTGATACTGACGAGGAGGAGTTCGACATCGACAAGAGCAAGTCTGCCATCTACAAGCATTTGGTGTCCAGTCCGGATTGTCGTAAGTTGTTTGACGATTCCTGGTTTAGTGTTATTTGTTGCGCACGTTTCTTTAAGCAGTTGCAGGTGTTGGAAGCTGTATATATTCGCACACGTGATCCTGTTCTATGCAAGCAAAAAGAAAATGTTGTAGCACTCACACTTTTTAAATAATACGCACTCACCAGTTTTTGTCCACACGCACTAACAGCTGCCACATTCATCTACTGCTACCATTCTCCGATACACTGCAAAGGTTCACACTACACGCGTTATGCATAACCGCTAGCTGTGCTGCATTCTCACGCTTCTTTTCATGTTACTCTAGCTATATAACTGGTTGTTTTAGTGATTCTGTAACAGGTAGCCGAGTGGTAGGCGCGGTGAAATCAACAAGAATTAGTTTTATTCTACTTATTTCAGGTACACACCTGAAATATAATTATTAGTGAAAGAAGAAGCGGCAAAATAAATGAGTTTCTCTCCGGTGCACACCTGGAGGTTGAATAGCTCGTTATTATCAAAATCTCATCTAAACAGAAATGCGCAGCAGCTTTTATGCAGCAGACGCCGTACGCTTACATACGGAGATACACTAACTATACATCAGGCAAAGCTCCGTATTAGTTCCGTACTACTTCCGTATTGGTCGGGCAGGGATACTACAATTCTTACTATGTGACGATGTTCCACTGATGATGGTCACACGAAAACGTTCTGGAAATTGTTTCATTTTAATTGTTTATACATGGTTATGAGTGCACAATTGATATTTTTCATTGCTATCTTTCCCTATTATTTCTTATTATTTCTGCTTTTCATCTCATTACAAAAATTCTGCGCATTTTTTTCTCCATCTGCGCATAAAATCTAGACTGACAACCTGCTTGTTAAATCATGCACCTGCTTTCAGGCGTAAAAAACCCTGTTGTAGAGGTCTCAGTCCTCATTTGTTAGACTTACCTGTCTTTATAAATGTAACTTACCTCTCTCTCTCTCTCTCTCTCTCTCTCTCTCTTTCTTTCTCTCTCTCTCTCTCTCTCTCTCTCTCTCTTTCTCTCTCTCTCTCTCTCTCTCTCTCTCTCTCTCTCTCTCTCTTCTCTCTCTCTCTCTCTCTCTCTCTCTCTCTCTCTCTCTCTCTCTCTCTCTCTCTCTCTCTCTCCCTCTCTCTCTCTTTCTCTCTCTCTCTCTTTCTCTCTCTCTCTCTCTCTCTCTCTCTCTCTCTCTCTCTCTCTCTCTCTCTCTCTCTCTCTCTCTCTCTCTTTCTTTCTCTCTCTCTCTCTTTCTCTCTCTCTCTCTCTCTCTCTCTCTCTTCTCTCTCTCTCTCTCTCTCTCTCTCTCTTTCTCTCTCTCTCTCTCTCTCTCTCTCTCTCTCTCTCTCTCTCTCTCTCTTTCTCTCTCTCTCTCTCTTTCTTCTCTCTCTCTCTCTCTGTCTCTCTCTCTCTCTCTCTCTCTCACGGGTGGCAGGTCGTTTCTTTTTCGGTTGAGGTAGGTGTCTGTCTTTCTTAAGAACGGATATCCAGCATCACTGTTAGCGAAACTACTCACGAACAATGCGCCCCGTAAGGAATTGACAATCGGCCCGGCTCCTTGTCGTGTCTTCCTGTGCCAGCCTTGGAAAGGCGCGGAGTCGACAAAGGTCAGTCGTATTGTCAAGTCTATTGTCCAGAAGACGTACTATGCAGTGAATGTAGTAACTGTCTTCACCACGATACGTTTCCTTCACGGTGTTGAAGGACGTCCTGTCGACCCATCATTTGAGTCACCTCATTTATCATTTTGAATGCCGACAGTGCGGTAGTCGGTATGTTGGCAGGACGCTTCAACACTTGTCCGAACGTATCAAACAACACGTCCCATTGTCCTTGTTGTCAAAAGCGGCCAGGGCAGGCAGGCCAAAGCGTGGGAGGCCACGAAAACACCCGTTGCCTACTACTACGCCTGTCAGTATTACAACACAACCAGGAACGGATACAA